GAGATGTGGTTAAATTTAAAAATTACATCGATGTTAGATTTCACCGCCGAATTAATTACAACTTCCAAAGATGTGAACTTGTAATGCTGTATGTTAACTTACTGCTTTCAAAGCCGTATTGTTAACTTTTAACTCTCAAGGTTTAACTTACAAAAATGTATGGAAAACTCACACCTATGATATCGTACGTTTTTTTTTTACAACTGACAACGATGTAAGCTTACAACTGTCTGAAGTAAACCTATTACACAGCTGACCAATCTAACATGTAAGCTTACAACTGTCTGAAGTAAACCTATTACACTGCTGACCAATATAACTTACAACGATGTAAGCTTACAACTGTCTAAAGTAAACCTATTACACAGCTGACCAATATAACTTACAACGATGTAAGCTTACAACTGTCTGAAGTAAACCTATTACACTGCTGACCAATATCACAACTTACAACGATGTTAGCTTACAACTGTCTGAAGTAAACCTATTACACTGCTGACCAATATAACTTACAACGATGTAAGCTTACAACTGTCTGAAGTAAACCTATTACAAAGCTGACCAATATAACTTACAACGATGTTAGCTTACAACTGTCTGAAGTAAACCTATTACACTGCTGACCAATATAACTTACAACGATGTAAGCTTACAACTGTCTGAAGTAAACCTATTACACTGCTGACCAATATCACAACTTACAACGATGTTAGCTTACAACTGTCTGAAGTAAACCTATTACACTGCTGACCAATATCACAACTTACAACGATGTTAGCTTACAACTGTCTGAAGTAAACCTATTACACTGCTGACCAATATAACTTACAACGATGTAAGCTTACAACTGTCTAAAGTAAACCTATTACACAGCTGACCAATATCACAACTGACAACGATGTTAGCTTACAACTGTCTGAAGTAAACCTATTACACAGCTGACCAATCTAACAACTTACAACCATGTTGGCTTACAACTGTCTGAAGTAAACCTATTACACAGCTGACCAATCTAACATGTAAGCTTACAACTGTCTGAAGTAAACCTATTACACTGCTGACCAATATCACAACTTACAACGATGTAAGCTTACAACTGTCTGAAGTAAACCTATTACACTGCTGACCAATATAACTTACAACGATGTAAGCTTACAACTGTCTGAAGTAAACCTATTACACAGCTGACCAATCTAACATGTAAGCTTACAACTGTCTGAAGTAAACCTATTACACAGCTGACCAATATCACAACTTACAACGATGTTAGCTTACAACTGTCTGAACTAAACCTATTACACAGCTGACCAATCTAACATGTAAGCTTACAGCTGTCTGAAGTAAACCTATTACACTGCTGACCAATATAACTTACAACGATGTTAGCTTACAACTGTCTGAAGTAAACCTATTACACAGCTGACCAATATAACTTACAGCGATGTTAGCTTACAACTGTCTGAAGTAAACCTATTACACTGTTGACCAATATAACTTACAACGACGTTAGCTTACAACTGTCTGAAGTAAACCTATTACACAGCTGACCAATCTAACAACTTACAACCATGTTAGCTTACAACTGTCTGAAGTAAACCTATTACACAGCTGACCAATATAACTTACAACGATGTTAGCTTACAACTGTCTGAAGTAAACCTATTACACAACTGACCAATATAACTTACAGCGATGTTAGCTTACAACTGTCTGAAGTAAACCTATTACACAACTGACCAATCTAACTTACACCCATGTTAGCTTACAACTGTCTGAAGTAAACCTATTACACAGCTGACCAATATCACAACTGACAACGATGTTAGCTTACAACTGTCTGAAGTAAACCTATTACACAGCTGACCAATCTAATAACTTACAACGATGTTAGCTTACAACTGTCTGAAGTAAACCTATTACACAACTGACCAATCTAACTTACACCCATGTTAGCTTACAACTGTCTGAAGTAAACCTATTACACAGCTGACCAATATCACAACTGACAACGATGTTAGCTTACAACTGTCTGAAGTAAACCTATTACACAGCTGACCAATCTAATAACTTACAACGATGTTAGCTTACAACTGTCTGAAGTAAACCTATTACACTGCTGACCAATATAACTTACAACGATGTAAGCTTACAACTGTCTGAAGTAAACCTATTACACACCTGACCAATATCACAACTGACAACGATGTTAGCTTACAACTGTCTGAAGTAAACCTATTACACTGCTGACCAATATAACTTACAACGATGTAAGCTTACAACTGTCTGAAGTAAACCTATTACACTGCTGACCAATATCACAACTTACAACGATGTTAGCTTACAACTGTATGAAGTAAACCTATTACACAGCTGACCAATATCACAACTGACAACGATGTTAGCTTACAACTGTCTGAAGTAAACCTATTACAAAGCTGACCAATATAACTTACAACGATGTAAGCTTATAACTGTCTAAAGTAAACCTATTACACTGTTGACCAATATAACTTACAACGATGTAAGCTTACAACTGTCTGAAGTAAACCTATTACACTGCTGACCAATATCACAACTTACAACGATGTTAGCTTACAACTGTCTGAAGTAAACCTATTACACACCTGACCAATACAACTTACACCCATGTAAGCTTACAACTGTCTGAAGTAAACCTATTACACAGCTGACCAATCTAACATGTAAGCTTACAACTGTCTGAAGTAAACCTATTACACAACTGACCAATATAACTTACAACGATGTTAGCTTACAACTGTCTGAACTAAACCTATTACACTGCTGACCAATCAATTTAAAACTTCAGAGCCCGTTGATGGCGTGTGTGTCATTTCGTGTGGCAACAAGTCAATTATCTGTCACAGTTGATGACAGTCTGACAACGGTATTGGCATCTGGCTGACTCGTCAGTCGACGTTATAGCTTTTTTATTAGTGAACAAAAGATGACGTCACTCAAGGCTACTGAACCAGGGCATACACGGACTTGGTCGTGACGTCATTCAGACCCACTGGACACTAGACTATACAGCTATTTGACGTCACAGAATTGTTCTTTTCATAACCTCCTCAATGTTCAACTGCTAAGGAATCAAATTCCAAAATAAAAAGCAGGCTGAAATCAGAGTCAGTGGCCTGTATGGCCCATAACAGGTTGACACGTAATAATTATGGTGGATGAAATCACGGCCAACATTACAGTTAAGAACGAATAAGAAGGACATCTTCAGCTATACCGTCGTCCCTCCGCTTGTATGTGTCTACATCCCATGTCCTTATTGTCCTCACCCGTGTCATCATCCTATGTGTGTGTTTGTGTTTGTTTACAAAGACATGAGGAGACCCATAGACCTCACACGATCCTAAAAGTCTGACCAGATCCAATGACCTTGCACTATCCTACAATCATGTCAGTGTTTAGTCTGAAGAGACCAGATGACCTTGACCAAATGAAGAGACCCAATGACCTTGCACTATCCTACAATCATGTCAGTGTTAAGTCTGAAGAGACCAGAGATGACCTTGCAATATCCAACAATCATGTCAGTATTAAGTCTGACCAGACCCAATGACCTTGCACTATCCAACAATCATGTCAGTGTTAAGTCTGAAGAGACCCAATGACCTTGCACTATCCTACAATCATGTCCATCCCTAAATGTTAAGTCTAACCAGACCCAATGACCTTGCACTATCCTACAATCATGTCAGTGTTAAGTCTGAAGAGACCGGATGACCTTGACCAAATGAAGAGACCCAATGACCTTGCACTATCCTACAATCATGTCAGTGTTAAGTCTGAAGAGACCGGATGACCTTGACCAAATGAAGAGACCCAATGACCTTGACCTAAAACTAATGAGTGCTCGCCACACAGCCTGTGGCCGTCAAACAAGACTCGGGGCTGTCGTCCCTCATCTAGAACATTCCAACAATTTGTGGTCACTCTAGGGATGGCATGAACCCCGCCCAACCATCTGACTGACAGGAAAAACTAGTAAAATGTGAGGGTTGTGGGTGAAAGGGAGGGGGGTGTTGACCTGTTTAACCCGGTACCGTCCCCATGTTCTAGCAGTAAAAAACCAGTGTTCGCGTCTAGCTCTCCACCTTTGTGAAGACACGAACGAGACCACATTTAAAACCACTAAACTGACAACAAGTTGACGACTATCTCCAGGCCATTTTACTTTGACTCAAACTTTGACACAGTCTTTTTATTTCACGGTCGTGTTATTCCTATAACAAATATTTCAGCTAATTTGTTAACATCTATATCAGCTGTTAACAAAATAAATAAATTGTAAACCATATAATATTATAAATGATTGCTATTTGGATATATGAATGACGTATTATTTAACATCAGTATGTTCTGATTACAGCCCCCACTTTCAAACAAGCCAACACATTGTGAAAGCATACAAAAACAAAAAATGATGCCAATGCAGGTTTATAAATTTGACAAGTATTTGAATATCAATTAAATTATTTTTTCATTATGTCAAGAAGCCATTTTCTTTAATCGCTGGAAAATGCAATACCTTTATATTGAATTGTTTTATTTATTCTAATAAATTGTTCCTTTAAAAAAATTCGGACGCTTCCAGGTTTTTAACTTTACTGCGCCATGACTCAGTCCTTGGCTGACCTGTTCGCGTTGGGACCAGGGCGCATCTGTTGTGCTGATTGCCAATGGTTACAGGTAAGCCAAGCACTTGGATTGAAAAGGAGAAAAAAAAGAGCTCCAACAAGGGGAAAAACTCGGTGTAAGGCACGATTTCCCGACCTTTTCCGCAGCCGTTACTTTAATCACGTTCGACAACTCTCGGTTGGGTAGCGGACGACAGCAGACGAGAGGAGCGCGAGGCGTCACGCGATGCTGCTCGGCTCTTGTGACTCTCGCAGACCAGGCCAGCCCCTGGGTGCGCATGCCTCTACTCACACTCTCCACCATTTGATGCGCACACATTTCACTGCTTTTATTAGGGGTGAAAAAAAAAGTTTTACAGTAATTATCCGGAAGTGATGTAACTTTATTGTGTTTTAGTCAACAGATTCGTTTAGCGGGGAATTCCTCATGACCGGATTTTATTTGCTGTTTTTAATGCACAGGATTTTTTTTGTTCCATTCCGCGGCTGTACTATGTTTCCAAGGAACAACAACGGCTGATAGTGCTGTGTTGTCGCTGAGTTTGTCTAGTCGAGTCTAGTTTACTGCTGCTAAATATCACGTCATGGAGAGGAAACGTAGCAACGACGCCCGAGGGGGTCTGACCCCCACTGACAACAACGTAAACCCCGTCAATACTCACGTATTTATCACAGTTCCCGAGGAAGATCTGGGGTTCCGCGGGAACCTGAAGAGATACGGCAGGAAATGTTTGAACGGCAGCAAGGAAAACGCTCTGCTGATTGGTCTGCTGCTGTCTGTGGTCGCTGGCATCCTCATGGGGTTGATCATCCGCGGCACCAAGGACAGCTTCAGCAAGAGGGAGATCATGTACCTGGGATTCCCCGGAGAGCTGCTCATGAGGATGTTGCAGATGCTCATCCTCCCCATCGTCCTCTCCTCCCTCATCTCAGGTATCGCCGGGCTGGACGGGAAGACGTGTGGCCGGATGGGACTCCGGACCATTGGCTACTTCTGTATCACGACCTTCATGGCGGTCTTTCTGGGGATATTCCTGGCCATCACGATAGAACCGGGCGGCAACGCAGACCTCAGCTCTATGCGGAGGTACGGGAAGGCGGAGTCCTTGAATTCAGCGGACACTTTCTTGGACCTCATCAGGTTCGTACTCTTTTCTTAGACGTATCCAATTTTAGACATGTGTAATGTTCATACTACGGTATATTTAAGATGTACTTAATGTATTAGACCTACACCTGCCTATTTTAGAAACATCTACTCTAGTGTCTTTATATAAGAACTACACAATAGGTGTTTTGGATAAGTTTGTGTTTTTCTACTAGCCTTGCGTATGACATTCTCCAATGTCTTGAAGCCCTGCTAAAAACAAGTGATGTGAAATTTAATTCCCCTCAATCAAGGCTTGTAGCTCAAAAATATTTTGTTATTAATTAAGATAACCGCCAATCAAAAGATAACCGTCGGTATAATGTTAACCGTTAATTAGAAGGTAATTGTCATTTAAAAGATAGCCTTTGGTCATCAGACAGACATCAGTCAAAAGATAACATGGGATATTGCCTGCAGCCACGTACAATTACTTTATCTCTGTTTCATCTTCAATAAATGAAGAGAAATATGTGTGTGTCTGTGTGTGCATGTGTGTGTGTGGTTGCGTGCGTGCGTGCGCATGTGTGCCTGTGTGTGTGCGCGTGTGTGTACGTGTGTGTACGTGTGTGTACGTGTGTGTACGTGTGTGTATGTATATGTGTGTGCATGTGTGTGTGTGTACGTGTGTGTACGTGTGTGTACGTGTGTGTACGTGTGTGTATGTATATGTGTGTGCATGTGTGTGTGTGTGCGTGCGTGCGTGTGTGTGCGTGTGTGTGCGTGTATGTGTGTGTGTATGTGTGAAGGGAGTTCTTCGGAAGGGGACATGAAAGCCGAGTAATGCAGCAGGGGGTGGGGTCAAGAAAGGGTAGTTACGGGAGATGGACACATGAACTTTGACCTAAAATTGGGATACACATGCCACAAGGCAATCATTTTACAATTTTAATTAAATGTTTTTATACTAATTAGACTCAGTGATATGAAATGGGTTTGTTTTTAAATCCACATCATTCCAATAATCTAATTATTTTTTTAAACACGTGAAACATTCCATAGTTTATAAACCCATCTGAAGAAAATCAATTCCAGCTTTGTCCTGTTGCCTTTGATTTATAGCGGCCACATTTTTCAGGATAAAAAGCCAAATTAAATTTTAAAGTTTATGTTTTGCGTAATTTGTGAAAATTGCTGTCCCTGATCTCGCTCAGCTAGAAGAATGGACTTGAGAAATATATTGTCTTGAGAAATATTGTCTGGGATGTGATATTTCTGCTTTGTAACACACACACACAGACACACACACACACACACACATATATATATATATAAATTTATATATATATATATATATATATATATATATATATATATATATATATATATATATATATATATATATATATATATATATATATATATATATATATATATATCGCATCTGATCATGTACTAATGCTGTGTATTTAACACGCATTTGAATGTTATATTAATGTGCACTTTGCCTACCACGTAAATTATTTAAACAGAGCTCGTCCATCTAGACCGTATACTTATATGACACAACATGTTTACTTAGAGACAGGTTCAATTAGTAAAACACAAGTATTTTGATGTTATACATTTCTTGATTGCTTACAATGGCAATATTTTGCTGTTTGATCACTTGTGATACATTGAAAAACTTCGATCATACGTGACCCATTAAAAACTTCAATCATACGTGACACATTAAAAAACTACGATCATACGTGACACATTAAAAACTTCTATCATACGTGACACATTAAAAACTTCTATCCGACGTGACACATTAAAAACTTCTATCCGACGTGACACATTGAAAACTTCTATCATACGTGACACATTGAAAACTTCGATAATACTTGACACATTAAAAAACTATTTTCACACGTGACACATTAAAAAACTATTTTCACACGTGACACATTAAAAAACTATTTTCACACGTGACACATTGAAAAACTACGATCACACGTGACACATTAAAAAACTACGATCACACGTGACACATTAAAAAACTACGATCACACGTGACACATTAAAAAACTACGATCACACGTGACACATTAAAAAAACTACGATCACACGTGACACATTAAAAAACTATTTTCACACGTGACACATTAAAAAACTATTTTCACACGTGACACATTAAAAACTATTTTACACGTGACACATTAAAAAATTATTTTCACACGTGACACATTAAAAAAAACTATTTTCACACGTGACACATTAAAAAACTATTTTCACACGTGACACATTAAAAAATTATTTTCACACGTGACACATTAAAAAAACTATTTTCACACGTGACACATTAAAAAACTATTTTCACACGTGACACATTAAAAAATTATTTTCACACGTGACACATTAAAAAAACTATTTTTACACGTGACACATTAAAAAACTATTTTCACACGTGACACATTAAAAACTATTTTCACACGTGACACATTAAAAAACTATTTTCACACGTGACACATTAAAAAACTATTTTCACACGTGACACATTAAAAAACTATTTTCACACGTGACACATTAAAAAACTATTTTCACACGTGACACATTTAAAAACTATTTTCACACGTGACACATTAAAAATCTATTTTCACGCGTGACACATTAAAAAAAACTATTTTCACACGTGACACATTGAGAACGGCGATAATACATGACATTCTTCATCTTCGTTCTCTGTCGGACCGAACACAATTTATTACTTGTCAACTTGTTTTTCGCCGTTTTGACTCCGATTTCAGCCTGCTTTTCTATTGGATTTGCTTCCATAGACTTTGTCCAACCAAGAACTAACTACAAGGCAGCAGTTTTTTGATTTTGGAGTTGTCTCTCCTAGATGCTGCCCCCAGGACACTCTAGAAACTTCGATTAGATGTCCTGTATTACAATTACGATCATGTGATTTACAGTTAAATTTATGATCACACAATGGTAGTGAAAGCTGGCTGTCGAATCATTTTATTCATGTGAAATAGATTTACATCTAAGGACTCAACTCTTGGGTGACTGTTTCGAATGTCTTTCAAACAAACCTACAACATAATGAAGACGACATTAGCCATGTATTCCCTGCATACTTCATAAGTACTAGAAGCAGCTTAGCTGCATCTGATAGGTTCACTAACTGCCGCATTACCTAACTCTTGGTGAATCCTGTCCAACTTCTCCAACAGGTAGATTCTCCCAGAACTCTCTGAAACCTACCCAGGTTGATAAAACCCTTCAATCTCTCATATAGTGTAGTATCTTTACTTGATTTAAGGCAATCTAGAAGTACCATAAAAACACGAAATTCTTCACTATTCGGCTAAAATCAACAACCGTTATAAAAAGATACTTCAAAGGCTAAAATCCTGGTTTTGGTTTCAGCAAAAAATGTCATCGTTTGCTGGTCAATGCCATATAACATGCGCCAAGCGACGCCAGAGTGAAATCAATGGTATCGTATGGCTCTAATGTGTTAGGCTTGTGTCGTGAAACCCAGGACCGACAAGGTTAATGCCGTGTTCAACCTGAACGACCGCAGACAATTCACAAACTTTGAGAACAATTCACGGGGGTTTGTTTGTGTGGGTGTATCAGGGCGCGCAGGATGACAGACCGGAAGTTGTGGCAGGGTGGGGGTATGTGAAGGTGTGTGTTTACATCGGGAGGTGGCTGAGTGAGTTGTTGGCGTTGGTTGGGGTGTGACTCCAAGGTGGTTGTCACATATGTCACATCTTTGTCACAAATGTGTTACAAGCTTGCAACACATATCTCCCACACTTGTCACACAGTAGTAACACAGTTATCACAATGTATCGAACACTTGTCAAATGCTTGTGACGCATGTCAAACATTTCACAAAATTATCAAACTTTCCAAGTTAGATCTGTAACTCCACATCCCTACCTATTTTGCTACCTTCTCCACCCCCACATCCCTCACTATCTTGCTACCTGCCCCACCCCCACATCCCTCGTTAACTTCCTACCTCACCCACCCCCACATCCCTCCCTATATTGCTACCTTCCCCACCCCCACATCCCTCACTATCTTGCTACCTTCCCCACCCCCACATCCCTCACTATCTTGCTACCTGCCCCACCCCCACATCCCTCGTTAACTTCCTACCTCACCCACCCCCACATCCCTCCCTATATTGCTACCTTCCCCACCCCCACACCCCTCGCTATCTTGCTACCTCCCCACCCCCACATCCCTCCAGCTACCTTCCCCACCCCCACACCCCTCACTATCTTGCTACCTCCCCACCCCCACATCCCTCCAGCTACCTTCCCCACCCCCACATCCCTCCAGCTACCTTCCCCACCCCCACATCACTCGCTATCTTACTACCTTCCCCCCCCTATATCACTGCCGTCTCAATACACGACAAGCTTTAAGGATGCCCTTAACATAAAGTCTTAGAAACTGTCGTCTTGTAGTGTATACAGACTATTAAACTTTATGTAGGAATAGGACAATAACATTCACAAAAAATCAACACTCACTTGTATCTAACAAATATTGATTTCATGTTTCGGTTCCTGTTTGGTTGTTTACTATCTGACCTAGTAGATTTTGTTAGACAGTCACTGATCTGACTGGAAATAAGACACATCATGACGTCTGGAAGTAAGACACATCATGACGTCTGGAAGTAAGACACATCATGACGTCTGGAAGTAAGACACATCATGACGTCTGGAAGTAAGACACATCATGACGTCTGAAAGTAAGACACATCATGACATTTTTAAGTAAGACACATAATGTCTGGAAGCTAGACAAAATAAAATGTCTGGAAGTAAGACACATCATGACGTCTGGGAGTAAGACACATCATGACGTCTGGGAGTACGACACATCATGAGGTCTGGAAATAAGACACATCACACTGTCTGGAAGTAAGACACATCATGACGTCTGGAAGTAAGACACATCATGACGTCTGGAAATAAGACACATCATGACGTCTGGGAGTAAGACACATAATGAAAACTGGAAGACACATCATGACA